GAACGCATTCTACCGTCCACACCCCGTCGGGCGTGTTCGGAAACTAATGTAAGAAAAGGGACGGACGAGCCGCCGGAGCGGGATTGGAGTCGCGCCAAGTCGAACCACGCCATACGTACAGAGGTTTGACGGATCTCCCAAGTTCTCGAGCAACTTCCCGCACTGCGGGGGTGTAAAGATGACGACGTTGATAACCAACGCCAGACGACGACGAGGCGAGGAAGAAGAAGAATTCCTTACCCCTGGCGCCCCGATGTTTGCGTTTCTGATTGGCTAACACGACTCACCCACATCGCGCATTTTCTCCCTCTTCCGCTCACTTTCTCTTTCTCTTCGATCTTTTCTTATTCTTTCTCTCTTTCTCTCTTTTTACCTCTTTCATCCTTAGCTCTAGTCAGGTCGTCCGTTCTTCTTTCGCTCCTGCTCCGTCAAATCGATCGTTACATCGAGGAGATAACGCTTAAGACCTGCTTGGCCTTCGTTCTCCGCGATCACGCCCATTTGCCGGCCTAATGACGCAATTATTTCCTACCCCGTGGATCCACGCCCGATGATGATAGGCACGAATCGCGGGGGTGGTCGCGCGCGAAAGACAATTCCCGACGGAATCGTCGCGCGACAGAGGGAATGTGCCCCATCTGAACACGACTCGACACACGTATCCGTCCGCCGTATCGGCGAACATGAATGCAGATCGTCGAAAATCTCGTCGGGACGACGCTTTTGACGGCATCGCAAAAATAACAGCAATTTTACAACACTCAGCGTTGCCAAATGGAACTCCGCGCGGATGATTCACCGCGTCAAAACACACATATCGGGCTGCGTTTCCGAGGAACGGAGTAGAAGTCCCCTTTCAACCCCCGTCCACCGACAGCGGGCAACAACGTAATAAAACGAGGAGAAAAGCTCGCGTCGTACGGCAGCGTTTTCGAGAGGCGCTGCAGATTTTTTAACGCTCGAGCGCTCAAAAGTCCGTCCGCGAGCGAATTCAGGGATGCCCGGCAAGCCGCAAAGCGGCGTTGCGGGGAGCAGAGGAAGGCACAAAAGGAGGGCACACACGCTGAAACGAAGAGCCACGAGGAGCGGGTGGAGGTTGGGGAGAAGGAAGGAGAGGGGAGTGGAATTCCCAAAATGCACTTTTGGAGTGGAATTCCCAAAGGGCACTTTCGCGTGCCAAGGGTGCGAATCGCCTCTGTAACGTACGTACGCGCTGCGCCGCTGTGTGTCGTGCGTGCGTGCCTGTGCGTGCGTGGGACGCGCGCGTATATATTTTTTCCCACCCTCCCGTGTCTCGCCTTCCGTCCTGGACCCACGCACATCACTATAAATATGTCGTTGGCGCAAGGCTAGGCGAGGACCGCGCTATTCCCATTGGCGCGAGCCTCCGCCGTCATGCCCTTCGACATGTACTCGGTGTATCCCAAGATACACCGAATGCCCCTTTAGCCGCGACATCTGCGGTCGATCCACAAATAATACCGCCACGGCGAAAAAAATATCAGTCATGAATCCGTCCTTTGTTTCACCTCTCGAACTTTTCTATTATTCCACCGATCGTTTCGTCGAGAAACAAACGTCCGCTCGATATCAGTTTTGGAATATCGAACCGCTGGCTGTTTTATTTTCTTACGATGCTTCGTCCGTCGGTGGTTAATCGCGCGAAAATAATATCGCGGCCCGCATCGATTAAATCGTCCGCAACGTAGAGAACATTCCGACGGTTTCGGGATTCTGCGCGCTCCATTTAGACGGTGAAGCGCGCTCCACGCGAGCGCACAGTCAACCGCAGCATCGCGCCAACGTCGCTTACTTTATGATCGTTTAAATCGATGCTGGGTCGCGTATTTATCGCTTCGCGATGTCGTAAACGGCGAGGCTTCAGTATCAGAATTGGTGCTTCGCGCGATCGCGCGCGAATTTACGACTCTGCGAGAGAAAAACGCGCGTCTCGACGCTGTAACGGCAACGTTTTAATTTTCCCCGGCTCGTTGCGAACCTGTCGATATACATATATCGAAGTCAAGACAGCTCAAATCGTGTAAAGATAAATTTCTTCCTAGTACAAGCGATGTTCCGAGTCGAAATTTTCGCTCTATGTTAAGCCTTTAATTCTACAACCCAGTAAGAGCTAAGATAGTAAAATAGATTCATTTTCAATTCTAATAATACAATATAGTTACCTACTTTAACCCCGATAATGTCTTAAATTTCAGTTTCTGCTGTTTCAGCGTCAAAATAGGTTGTTGAAGGTACACTGAAAAAAAATTGTTACGTTCAAGTAAATATTTGCTAAAGAGGAATAGTTTATTTTATTTGGATTAAGTAAATATTACTTGAATAATTACTTCAGATAATATTTACTTCCAAGTAATAATACAATCCAAGTAAAATAAACTATTCCAATGTTCCGTAGCAAGTATTTACTTGAGCAAGTAAACAAATTTTTTCTCAATGTAGCATTAAAATTCAATCTGTAGAATCAAAGGTTCAAGAGAGAAATTGAAAAGTATCAGTATCGTCAAAGTAGATTTTTATTAGTCTATAGGTTGTTTAAGTAGGCGTAAATTACCCTTAAGAACGTCAGGGTAACATCAAAATTTCGACTCGGGCCATCACAATTTATACAGGGACGGTGTCTTACAATGAGACAGCTGTAAATAAAATATAGAAAAATTGCTCGCAATGCGAAAATTGCGTATCCTCTCGGCTTCGCACAACAACAGCGTTCTATCGGATAGTATCTCAGGAAGAATCGTCGTGCACGTGCACTCGGAGACATTTCGCCTCGAAAACACGTCGGCAAATTGTATTTACTGTCGACAAGAGTCCGTAACTGATACCGCCGTGAGAGAAATTTACGTAACGCTATCTCGCTCTTGAAAATCGCTTTCTCCGAAGTGGAAACTGGATTGTATCTCTTTCTATACACGTCCGTTGCCGATATGCGTAATCACCAAAACTGTGCGCGCGAATAATACGTTTACATTTGTTTGAGCGCAGAGAATGTGAGATTTGCAGGGAATAAATTAATTAAACCACCCCGCCGTGTTTTGTGTTTTCAAATACGGCAACGGAAGCGGGAGAAAAACAAGACTTCGATTCTAATTTGGCACAATTGGCGATTGGTTCGCAGATAGATCGCGGTTTGCAAGCGCGAACCGGCGCTATCACTTCATAGAGGTTACGGCTATGCTGCTTGCGAAACAGAACATGGCGGTCGAGTGCTAAGCAACTCCGGTTTGAATGCGGAAAGTTTTGCCCGACGCAATCGGTCCTCTCGCGCGAACACGTACGTATGTACGTCCGAGAGAATTCATGTATGCGCTTCTGTAGACAGAAGAGTTTCCCGGAGAACGCGGCACCTTTGATATCTCAATACTTTCCGGCATTTACCCCGTCACCGAGAAATTATTGATAACATCATACACACACATACAATCTCAGCTTGCAACCTTTCACGACAATTTGTGATAAATAATGAACAATGAAAGCAGCTTTCACATCGTCAAACTGCTACTTTATCGCTTTAACAAGCAAGTTATTTATGCGTCTCTTTCCGACAATAACGAAATGTTCAGTGATCCACATTATTTATTAACGATTGCTTTAACGTCGTAATCGACTCGTCGCCGGCTGAGATCGATTCTATTTCTGTCGCGTGCATAAATAAGAACAACGATCTTCTACAAAGTAATAGTTCCATACATCGGAAGAAAAAGAACAAATAGTTCGAATCGCTTCCCTTTAGAATACTCTCACTTTAGAATACTCTCGCCAACGAAATACCCCGGCAATTCGTTCAACATATCGTGGATATATTATATATATGCCGACAGCCATAAGAGCGGCACTTTCGCCGCAGTTTCCAGTCGGCGTGAAGCACCTCCGAAAGTCCGGGCTTTAAAGTTCCTCGTAGAACAAAACAACTAGCGTTACGACAAGTAGAGTTGAGCCTCTCTCTCTCTTCTTTCTCTCTCGGATCGTTGTCCTATATATTTATACGAACTCATATATCCCATTGACGCCCCGGCGAAACGCGGCCAGCGGCCTGGTATATATCATGCTCGCACGGCAATGCAATTATCCCCTCGAGATCCGAGTTCGCTCAACGTTCACTCGCGCACGCTGTTTTACCGGTCGTTGACAATGTTTTCGAAAATAAAAACTTGCCGGGCCAAGTGCCGGTGCGTGTTTCCCACCGCAAATTGGAGCATCGAGCGACAGCGAAAATCGCTGACACTCGAGACACAGGGTGTCAAAAAGAATGACAAGTCGTTAGTTCACGGATTTACGACCGCCCGAGCAGATTTCTCGAAGGTTATACTTGCAAACTTGCAATACACCTGTGCGAGGAAAACAAAAAAAACATGTCACAAAGCGTGCTGCTCAAGCGCTATAGCGTTTCGCGCCTGTCAACAAAGCCCCGATATTATTCTCGCGGGTTACGTAAGCGACGGGAAAACACGGCTCCAAGCTCCTCCGATTCTATATTTCGCGCACCCACATAGCCGCTGACTCCACCGAAACAATTTGCGAAGACGGAGACGTCTATATTGAGGAGAAAAAAAAGAATCGACACGACTGCACCGCCCGACGATCCCACGTGTTCACGAGCGCAGTTATCGTTGCGAGAACTATGATCGTTGTAAACGCGTAAAGTAAAGAGGATGCGGAACACATAAGCTGCCGGGCAGAATTTCACGACATTCACCTTTTCGCCCAGTATTGTCGGTACTTGCGGCACGCGCTCAAGACTGTCAGCACCGGAACAGCGGATTCGGACATCACGTTCACTCTCGGGAATCGGGCCGACTTGAGTCACACGACGGACAGACAGACAGACGACTAGACACGACCGTACGATACGAACGTGTGTTTACACCGACGTGGACGGACGTGTGTACGTGCGCTGGTGAAACGTCGTCGTGAGCTGTGTTAGACACCGTCCAGGAATAACCGGGCAGGCAGGATCGCGAGGGATGCCAGAATGGACTCACCTGTGCCGGCGGGCTGAGGTGTGCAGGGCAGGACTCTCCGACCGGGTAGCACAGCGTGGATGTTAAGCACAAGTGCAAAATCTCCGTTGACACGGCTACGCCGCTCGAGTGGTCGGTGTGGACTGCAGAAAAGCCCGCAGATGATATCAGAGACCTAGGAGAGACTGCATGACATCATCGCCGGCCAATCGGCGCGTGCCCACCGACGCGCAAGCGCCGCACCCTCCGGCGCCGGGGGTGCTTGCGATATATCGCAATCGATTGCGCGACTTCGCGCCCCCGACGACGGAGCTCTCTGCCGGCCAGGCTTCACTCTCCGCTTCAAAATGTGGCGCGTTTTCCGCCGCTCCGCGACACGGGCTGCTTTTGCTTACACACGCGTCAGACCACATATCTGTGTTAATTTAACATATTGTGTTTATGTTATCTCAACATTTTGTGTTAGTCGACGTTCGACATGCGTAAAAGTTAAAATAACATATTTTATATTTCAGTATCGATTAACATATTAATTTTGTGTTAATTTTTTACCTAATATTTGTGTTGCTTTTCAACATGTTTACCTTGCGTTAAATTAACGGCAAAATTTGAGCAGGTCGTTCGGGACATGTGAAGTGTGTCAAATTTAACACGGAATTTTTTATCATGTACCGGATTTCTGGGACGCGCTTTAGACCCTATATATCACAAAACCTACAAACCCATAAACTATAAATAACCCATTTGTCTAATTGACAGGCATGCGATAAGAACGGACGCGGCACTTCGGCACGACATAACAGTTAGCGCATTGGCGATACGCAACACGGGTAAATATCAGATAAGCCGACTGCTGACCGATATCAAATGTAATGCACGGCCGTGTAAACGCTATCAGAATGGCGCTTGATAAAGGTGTTTTGCATGCGCCGTTTCTCGTCGTAGACAACAGGTAAGAGCTTCGTCGCTCCGCCGCGGTGAGTTTAAGATATATGTAAAATTATTCCTGGATATTTGCGGCGTGGCGTTTTCGAAGCATCAGGACGCCGCATTCCACTGGTGTGCTCACGAATATAACCCCGTTACTAGCTCGGGAGACAAACACACACACACACACACACGTACTCACGAGCGGCTGCAGGTGCGAGGGAGCCTCGTAGGAGGACATTATCATACTCGTGAATACAAAAGTCTCTTTTGTAAAGGCGTGAATGCGGAACTGCTGAACGCGTGAAGCGAGTCGACAGCTTTCGAAGAACGCTGCAGAATGGCGGCGCCTAAGCGAAGATGCCTAATTTTCTGCGAAAAGTTCGCGACTCTTCACGTCTGCCCACCGTGATTCAAGAGCGAGAAATCCTTCTGTCGCTTTCTACTCTTAAAGAGATTCTGCGGGACGAATTGTATGTGTGTGCGCGTGCGTCTGTCAAACGTCGCTCATGTAATCGTATGGAGAAAATAAATATAACAGGATTCTTCAGCAGTTTTTTCGCAAAGCAATACGCAGCATGTGGCAACTTCGCGAAAGCATCCATCAATCCCAGAGAGCCCTTCCCCGTCAAACAGTAAGATCCCGATATCCTGCGAATTGATTTTGCGTGCCGTGACCTCGCTTTCGAACACGCGGAGGGGCTGCTTGTATTCTACGTACTTATGAAACTACAAGCGATACACGCGTGCCTACACATGTCGGAAGTTTGTTCCCTTCGAATGTGAGCCGGCAAAGGTAGTATGAGGAATGGCTGAATTATGCGACATATTGCACGATTCGAATCCCCCCTCTCGAGAGCCCAGTCGGATATTCGAAGAGGAGAAGCGGTGTTTATAAGCAAGGGGAATTGTTTCGACTGCACGCTGTGCTTTGTGCCACGAGAGTAACAAGCGAATAAGCTTCTTCGCAACATATGAAGAAAATTCAACGTTTGATCGTACCGACGCGTATATTCGGTAAATTTTTAAACAAACCGATTATTTGTTGCAAATTCTCCGGATTATCGCCGCCTTTTAATACCGGTTGATAATTGCCTGGCAGAAAAAGCGCCAACGAAATCGAATTGCGGCGGCGTGATCGGATTTTGAGAGAGATCGATCGTGCCCGGCGCATAAGCTGGAAATATGTTCGAATCAATCACAAAGCCAGTCGCGAGATTAAGCTCCACGGCGATCGCCCACCTCCTTTATTGATCAGCGATGCTTTGCCGCTCGCTGAAATTCGCGGCACGGCTTTTCGGGGCGAAGGATTGGAGATTAGGAGGCTAATGCGCGGATAGCTAACGGAGGGCACATGAGGGATAAATCGGCACTTTTAGGAGCTATTACTACAGCAAGCAAGCATAACCTTGTGATAATCTCGGTGAGTTGAGATCCCGATGTTAAAAGGAGAACCCGAGTCGAAATTTCGGTTCTACATTAATCCGAAAAATTTCGTCGAATTTCTCAGATTAATGAGGGAACTCGAGATACAACACAATATAGGCCATTACATTATCAATCACTGGCGATTATTTTGATACTCTCGTCGTCGTGTTATGGTTTGTGACCGAGTTTTTACGTAAAAATAGCCGATAAACGGAGATTACGCGATGTATACGTCTCGATTCGTGAATTATCATTCCAGTCGGCTCGGTTAGACTAATATAGAAGCGAAATTTCGATCGGAGGAACCTCGAGAAAAGTCGTCAAATACAAAAACCATCGAGCCGCTTTTCGCGTCGGCTTCTAACACTTAATTCTGCTTTGCCTAAATGCTTTCCACCGCGTTGCTTGCATTATAAATAACCCGCCGCGCGCACAAAGCGACCGCGATTGCATAAAGTGCACGCGATTATGGCAGATCCGTACTACGTGGACGAAATCGCGCGAATATCGCGGGCGAGATTTCCCGGAAAAAATTTGATGGCGTAATATTGCCGCGGAAGAGGCAGTAAAAATAAATTGACGTCTGGAAAGAGGCTCGGGACGCTCGAATACCGGGCTGCCGTCGCGAGCTTATTTCGCCCCGTTTCTCTGTACGTATCTGTACTTCTCTTTCCCTTTCTCGGTACATCAGTAGAGGGTGAATTGAGTGGCGTAGAAAAAAATTATATTAAACAGTCCTCCCTCCCCCCCCTCCAGATCTCGCTATACAATCTCGCTTCGTGTATTCTCCATATATTAATCCACAAAAACGACGTGAAAGAAGCTTGAAAAAGAAAAGATCAAAGAATACGGTCGCGTCATCTAATCGATACCGTACTTCCTCCCCTCTCTCCGGGAGGATCGTGAAGATATTCGAGAAGGATTTGTAAAAAGCGCGACTATCGGGATAGCCGAAATCGTGCCGGGACGTTGAACGTTGCATTCAATTTGATTCCTCGTAGTCGGTCGTGCCATCAGCGTCGGCTCGACGCGTGTTTCCATCGCTCGGATTTACATAAGTGACTTATGGTCAGCGAGTAATACCCTCATGGTAGGCAGGGTCGTTCGGGTATCTTTGATGCGACATTCGCGCGGGGATTCAAATGAGGGACGGTCGTTATGAGAGACCCCGTGTGGAATATCATACGAAAGTATCCGGTTTCGTCATCCGCGGATATTCGCGCGCGAGGACGCCCCGAGTGAGACGCCATTTCCCCGGAGGGCTGTTTTTTTCCTCTCCCCTCCGGCGACTTCTGTCGCTTCGGTTTTTAAGCAACGATCAATCCGGGGCTTTCTAACGGGACTTAATTATCGCCATTCTTTCGCAACGTCCGCAGCCACATCGCGTCTCGCTGTGGTCTCAACTAACAAGGTGCGATTCCATTGAGAACGTAACAATTGAAAATTCATTAGCAGCGTCATTGTAACGGGATCCACATCCCCGCCGGCGATAACAATTGGACGTCCGTGTTATACGCGACCATTCGATTAATTAATTCGACAATACTTCCCTAATAGAGCGATCGCGGCTCTCGATTAGCTACCGAAGTTGTATGCGTTAAATGCAGAAAATCCATTTCCGACCCCGGTATACGCCGGTTTCCTCGGCGTAGAGAGGCTCTCCCCTCGGCAGATGCACTTGTTCGATTCGGTCCCGCCGTTTTACAAATTACATTAATTCCGCGATACACAGATAACGCGTTTCAGGCTCGACGGTGTTTAAGATAAAATAACGCGCCGTCGGCGGAATTTTTGCAGCGATGCACGGACGCGCGGTCGTAGATTTAATTTCAAGATTATGAATCGTATCGCTCGCGCCGCGACTAGTGCAATCGGATACGCGCGATACGCGCTCGAAATTCACGCACGGAACGCTGCCGATTTTTCACGTTTAATTAGCCGTCACCGCATAACGACCACGTCGGCCAACCCGAAGCGGAGATCCATCGTGCGTTATGATTCGTCCGACAGTGGCAGGGAGGTGCGACTTCTTCGTACATACACGGTGTCTCCGATTTCGCTTCACTTCACCCGTGGATTCCTCGAGCGATTTCAAGCCGACCTTTCTCTCGGCAAAAGAGATTCGTCTTGTAATATATCATCGGCACTCGGTACGCTCCTCTCCAACGATCACGGTGTCTTCGTACGTCCGTGAGAAATGATCGGTCCTAATTTGCCGGGGGGATCCGCGCGCGACACTCTGTATATCGTACCGTATGAATAATCGTTAATTAATTCCAGGCACGACGCGCGAGCAAAGCGACCCGCCGCCGGCGAGAAAGCACAGCGCGTACCTTATATTTCCAATTTTTCACACACGCATACATATACGAGCATAATAAATACCAGGGCGACGGTTACCTTACGGTGACGCGAAGTGCATAACAAATGAGAGAGAGAGAGAGAGAGAAAGGGAGCGGAGGAGCATGATTTTTTTTATTTTCGGCCGAGCACAGGAGCCCCTTTCCGGACGAGCGTTTTATCCGGCGCAGCAGAAGGTGGGAACGGTTCTCTATCATGAGCGAAACGTTTTATCAGATAAAGTCACGCTATCGGTCTCGGTAGATAAGGGAACGGTGACAGGTCGACGATGACACACGGCGCCCGTGCTTTCGGAAGAGTACGTGTCGCTCCGGCCATTTTTTCTCGCTCCCCGCCGTCAGACGTGTAATTTTTGTCTGTATCGCCGTCTCGAGTGGAAGATAGCTGAAGTGAGTAGAAGCGTCGTCGTTTATTGATTGTTACAATACGTGGCGTTTAATTCAGAGGGAGATCGCACGCGGATCACACGGAGAACACGGTGATTTCGACGCGAAATACAAATACTGCGCGGAGTTACGAAGGCCGTTGTCGTTCGTTGCGTGCGAACAGATTCAGAATCGTCAGCGGACTTTGCGATTTAACGAGATCGCTTTAAATGCAAAACGTGATTTGGCATTTGAAACGGATCTGAATAAAATAAATCACTCGTTGTTGCTTACGCGCTCAAAACTTCGTTTACTCGGACCGCTCGCGTCGTTCATACGCGCACGCTTAAACACACCGGCGGTTATGTAATTATGCGAGTGCCGTTCTCGTAACTGTTATTATCAGGTGCAAAATTCAAGACCGACGTGACGTACGCAACAGCGCACTTGATCAAATAATCGCGTCCGACTCGCGCTCTCATTCGTTCTAATCCTATTTGCACTTTAGCCGCGAACCTGCTTCGTCTCTTAAGTCTCCTCCATTATTCTATATTGAATTGCACATAAATCTTCATAGCAAAAGAGCGAGCTCGAGCAGGCTCTACCTACGCCAGTGGAGGAGAGAGAAAAAGAGAAAGAGAGAGAGAGAGAAAGAGACGGAGAAAGAGAGATAGCCAGAGTACGACGTAATTTCTCTTCATCTCCTCGCGGCGGTACGGTAGGGAGCGGAGCTCTTCTTTCGGTGTTCCCCGCTCAAGTAGATCCGTCTCAATCACGATCTCGCCGAAACGGTAAGAAGGACACCCCTGGACCGTAACACTAAATAACCATCCACGTCGATAGGTCATGGACACGCTGTATCCGAATCTTCACGAGCGCTTCGAGACCGAGGGCCTCTGCGCCATCTGCCTCATGGAGATGGAGCTGACGCCGAGGTATTCGTGCGTCAACGGGCACACCATGTGCCATCGTTGCAAGCCTTACTACTACGCCTGTCCCACCTGCCGCACGCCGATGGACGTGGAAATCCTGCCGCCGTCGTTGGACGCGCCACCGCACCTGATGCCGCAACCCATGCCGCGTCGTGTCGACTACAGCCCCAGCGCGCCGTCTCTGACGAGAGACTTTCTGGAGCACGAGAGGACGAGAGTTTGGGAACCGCCGACGCCGGACCAGCAGCTCAGATCGTGCGCGTATTCTCATTTAGGATGCTGGGTGAAGATGCCCAAACACCTGCAGGTTCTCCATGAGTCGAGGTGAGCGCGCCGAACGTCGTTGTCGTACACGCCGGGAAATAATATTTGCGAAGAGGTTTATTTTATGTATAAATAAACCTTTTATATCCCGCAAATAAATTTGTATTTTCTTTTCTCAACCGCGCGCGTTAGTTGGCTTCTAGATTGGTTCCACGTCCCTTGTGGATTTGTTTCCCGACTGTCGAAATTTCTTTCTCGACAACGCGTGTTACTATTGCATTTACATTGTCGAGTGAGAAATTTCAACACATACGTGATATCGATGTTTCCTGGGATCCGATTGAATAATCCGTCAAATCCACGAGCCGTTCAGCAACGTTAGTCTTTCGATTGCAACGTTAGGTGTCAGTTTCGGCCGCATCTGGAGGAGGAACATCTGCCGACGGACCTTCAGCATCGTCACGACGATTTGGTGGACTGCCCGTATTCAGCGGCAGGATGTAAGGTCCGCACGGTACCGTGGAGACGCGGCATTCACGGAAACTTTTGTATCTACAAGAAGTTCCACGACGTGGACAACATCAGCGAGGGTCTCGCGCGCGCGACATTCGTCGATAACGATTACGACGGCGAGCAATTGGTGGAGTGCAAGTTCCGGCGTTACGGCTGCATGGTGAGGATGCCGGGGAGGCGCAAACTCACGCACGAGCAGAAATGTAACTACAGGGACTATCGCAGCGAGACGGACGACGAGTACGATTGCATCTGGATGCCGTCGGAATCGGATTCCAAGGAAATGCAAGTGGAATGCAGATGGTCCGTAAACGGCTGCCGGGTCAGACCGAAACGTTACCGTAAGCAGATACACGAGGACAAGTGCAATTACAAGATGGAAGAGTGCGCCTACAAGGAGCGCGGCTGTGACGCCATGTTCATACCGGCCAGGAAATACGCTCACGAGAGAACCTGCGAGTACGCCAATTGAGCGAATGATGATCGATCGGTACGAATGCTCGAGCTCGGAAGGATACACGCATATGTAAAACAGTCGCAACGCTCCAAGTTCTATTTGATTTTTATCCGGACACGCGCGGAAAGCCAGCCTGGAAGCTGCGAAAAGATCACCTCTGATCGTACACTGAACGTACAATCCTGCCTCCCCTCGGTCGCGAGTTAGACCTGCTGCTGTCAATAAATCGAACGGGTCCAGCGATCCCGTAAATCCCGCTGCACGCCGGCCGAATTCGTCGAGATAACGACAATTAACAACAACAAAGCGAATCTACCGTCGAGGCGGGACGAAAGCCATTAACAGCGATTTCCAAGAATCCGTGGGATAATGCGGAAGAGGATTATTTGCTCTTTCTCTCTCTCTTTCTTTCTCTCTTACTTTCTATCTATTTATCTATCTATCTCTCTCTCTCTCTCGCGCGCGCGCGCGCTTTCTCGATCCCATTCCGACGCGAGCTAGTGAAACTTGCGCCTGTCGTTCGGGGGATCATCTTGGGCATGATCGCCGGGAATGAGGGGGCGATGGCGTGGCTGGGATATCCAACACCTGCAGGCTAATGGTGGGCCTCCCTGTGCGCGCCCACGATCGCGCCGTCGCTCGACAAAACGACACCTACACGCGCTTATAGCACCCATTTATAACGTCGGCGCGTGCAAAGGATGGGAGCGGGATCCGTCCCGATGCGCGATCACGGACGGTGGCTCGAAGTGTTAGTCTCAAAGTCAATAAAACGCGGTTTCGAGAAATGATGTAACTCTGGCTGTTATCTCGCTCGTTAATCGTCAGCAAGGAGAATTTCGCGTTACTTGAGTCAACGGGCACGAGAATGTCGGGCAAATTATTGTCGGGGTCGGAAAAACACGTTTTATTACACGAGGGTAAAATAATTTCTTGTTGTCGTATTATTATATCCTGTTGCGACACATGTAGCAAATAATTGTCGGTTAGAGACACGTTTACTCGTGATATGATGCATAGGAGTAAACATTGTGTGAGGAATCGGCAAAAGTTCAACGTCTGCAAACAAAGGGTGCAAACGACGGCCGGAATCTATTTTTTGTGCCATGAAAATCTGAGAGAGTCCCACGGGTGAAGGCATACACCTTCGTCCCTACTAAATAAATACCGAATGGACCGTATCGCGAGAAACTCTTGTCCGTCCGCGACGCGAACGTTCCGCCATCTCGGCGGGTCAGAACTTCTAACGTACAGGAATGACCTCTGAATGATGGACAAAGGGGTGCGGGAACTGTTTTACATAGTAAAGATCAGGAAGGACCATCGTCTCTGACCGATGCATGCCTTAAAGTAGATATAGCATCGTGTCTGAGTTCAAAGTCGTATTAAGAGAGGAGAGAAGCATCGCTGGATTGTATCCGGATCCGGGAACAATCGATATGACTCTTATTCAAGGCAATATCACCCCTTAATTCCTACCCTTTACCTTCCCTAATTGCGTTTCGGACTATTCGCTGATTTTTAATTAAACCGACTCACAAAGAGATTGCGCGGTTTAAAGAGGATATTTCATACCGCCACTTTGATTTCGAACATCCAGTTTTATTTGAATATCGAAGATTTATGCGCATAAATTTATCTCTTGCGATTGAAATATCGTGTAAGATATATTATGTAAAAATTTGCATACAATTTCTTTCTTAATTCCGTGTATTTCGTTGATGACAAATTACGATATAACAGAATCGAACAAGCGAGTTAAACTCAATGAATAACGAGAAGGTGTTTATTTTTTCTTCTTTTTTTTAATAAGTCATAAAAAAGCGCGCCATCGCATTAATATACAAATGTGTCATTTCTATGTAAAACAGCGAAGCGGAAAAAAAAGTTAACGACGGACAAGAGGAGAGATTATCGGACGAAAGTTAATGGCTTTTTTTCATTAAACCTTCCTCGCATAAATTAATAAACCGATGAGGGTTAGATGATGAAAGATAAGAAGGCGGCCGCTCGTCATATTTAAGAAACTCGTTGGTAGGCAAAATAGATATAGACACAGCAAGCTGCTACAACCTGCTAGTGGTGGGGTTGAGCAAAAGGACAGGGGGGCGGAGATGCGAGTAAATTGCACCCCTGGGGACAAGCCTGAAGAGTGGCGCGAAGGACGCAACAAGCCAGAAGTCAGCCAACTTTAATTAAGACAGCGTTGCAGACTAGATGTAGACACAGAGTTTTGTATATAAGAAACTCGGACTTGTGAAATTTCTTCGTTACTTGTAAATAGCAAGACGTGTTATATAAACAAAGGGCAGAGAAAGAAGGAAACATAAGCGTTATCGTTACTCTGCAAGAGTTTTCAGGATTTAGCGTCCACCTTCTATTTTAAAAAATCGATCTCTTTTTAGGAAAATATAAAAAACAAAGGGAAAGGTATCTGTAGTATCGATCTTTTATTTTTTTAGTTGTATACTGTTGCAACCAATCTCCTCTCAAATTAAAAATCTAATGAAATATTTAAAATTTAATGAAGATTACGGTTTTATTATTCGTTTGCTCCAATTAAAACTTATATTTGAAACCGCGTTCTCAAGTATCCCTATTAGTTTTAATTGTTCATACCTTAAGTAGGTTATAAGGTGAATAAGAATTTAATAAGTTTAATAAGAATTTGGTAAAACTTGCACTACGTATATACTGAAATATTATCCAACTGCTCCTGTAATTAGAAAGAATTGATCATTTGAGAGCTGAGATATTTGTAATTAAAATTGATACTTTTTGTACGTGTTCCTTGAGAGCATACTGATAAGCATACTATTTTTAAATTCTATTTTTAATATCTTCCAAACTGAAAATAAGATATTAATGAAAAACCATTATGATATTAAAGACATGCAGACATTATACACAATATATTTTGAAAATATAGCGGTGTAAAATTCATAATTTGTATTAATATTATACTTACAATATTAAATTATATAATATTTAATATTATATTATAATATTAAATTAATACTCGAAATATATACATGTTTAAACACACCTCTTTCTATTATCTCTGCATCTCTATTAGACCAATTTATGATATCAATATAGCATTAATAAGAAAAATTAAAAATAATATTTTCGTATTCGTAACATTCGTAACATTGTGTATATATGTTTACCACAACTCCATTTCAAATTAACATTTATTAATTAGGTAATTAATAAATAGTATTAATTAGGTAATGAAATTAATGTATGAGGACGTAATTTTGCTTGACAAATACTAAATTTATGAGCGGACATCTCGAAACACGACTGAAAATATGATACTGAGCCTTACAACCTTCTTAAATGTAATTAGTTTGCATTATTTCTAAGTCGGTCGATAAATCGAGTTCGAACTGGTAAAAGAAAAATCCGTAGGTGAGAAGTGGTATCCAAAAATTGAGACGATATCGTCCTGGTGGTTTCGTGACCAAAAGAGTCTCGATTTCGCGCCTCTATGGTCGTTGATCACCGGCGTCCGACACGTGTGCTCGTAAAACATATACGCCCGATACCAGAAGGTTTAGGAGTCTGTGTTCCCACGTAAATACCTCACGTCAAAAATGGCCCCGTTCGCATCTCACGACAGCCGCTCTGTACCGCGCTACACGCGAGCTCCATAATTCACGTTAGCGTTGCTTGCCGGCCGCGAGGGAGAGGAAGCGACCGTCCAGCCGATCGTATCTCAATTTCGTCAGGATATAACTACCGGGATGTCGACGTAACGAACAAAACCGTTTCTGATCGGAGCATCTGATCGCGCGGCACGTACGCGATTATCATCGTCGGACGGGACGCGATTGCCGCTGGAAGTAAGCTCGGAGAGAGATAAAGATTTACGGCGAGTAAACATCCGTCATCGTGGATCAAGTCGGAAATCCGGTGCTGTGATCGCGACACAGCGCCGCTGTTGCATCCGGGGGATGCATCTTTATGTAACGCTAAAGATATTCGCCAAGGTGTCGCTTAATATTTCACGCACGGCTAATAAATTGGACGCGATATATCGTTGTTGCTGAAATTAACGCGTTATTACACAAAGAAAAACATTTCTCTGGGCTCGATAAAACTTTTTTAGTTGAAGCAAACAAACGAATGCCTGATTCCACAAACAGGATTATTTGGTTTCTTGCGAACAATAAACGAAATGATATTTAATATTAAATTATGTTGTTTATATTAACAAGCCCAAGTCAAACGAACATGTATACTAAATCCGAAGAAATCTTTTCCTCTGTGTACAAACGAAATTTTTTTAACCAATCTGTACGATATGTGTGTGATCTGATCATACTTATCGAATTTAACGAAAGCCACCATCGTGCAGTCTGAAACTTCTCAGTGAGGTAATCGCGAGGAGAATAGATGCAGTCGCAAAGAGAGCCTTCCGAAACGCTCTGCGACTGACAATTAATGCCGTGATCTTATTTCGGTGCACGTTCCCGGGACAAATGATTTCTGCGTTCAGTGGTCGAGACGACAAACTTCTCGTGCCAGATTAAAATTCTTAATACAACCCTTTCAGACTGCGAGGGAGTGGGTGAATGAATGAGGGAGTGCATTCATGAACGGTGGAAGGGCCGGCCGAAGAAGAGGTGCGTCTCGAGGAAAAAGCGAATTTAATGAAACGAGAAAAACCCCGGTGACGGTGTATTTGTAATGCAAATACTGGACCGACGCTCCCGGAGGGACGAAAAATGAAAGGCTCGAAACAGGCGGGAACGAAATCGAGCATCCCATCGCTCTCGCTAATCCGATTCCGAATTCTTCGCCGTCCGCCTACTCGCCCGTTCGTTCGCTCTCTTGCTCACCCACTCGCTCGCTCGATCATGGAATCACGTTCCTGACGCTGTAACCTTGACAAAAAAGGAAGAAAATCCTAATTTCTTTTTCCTTAATTACCTCGGGGACTCGGCGAGTTGTGGAAACCACGATACGTCTCGAATGCTCATTATCCAAAAACCTCGGCTCGATCTAACATTGTCAACGAACCCGCCTGCCGTTCGCTCGACGCGTTTATACTTTGTTGATACGTGGAACATCACATTTCGTGCTCCCAACGTGGAATGGCACTCGTCATGCGAGAAAATGCGACAAAGCGGAGGACTAGAGGATTGAAGGAATCATTATTTACCGAAAGTCGACTATTGTCCTCTTCGACGGGCGCATTGTCGAATTAAAGGCTTTTGTGACACAGAACGCCAGGGGTGAGCAACGCGCTTCGTCTCTGTTCATCCAGTCACTTCTCTCTCTATCTCTCCAACGATTCGACGTGTTCCCTTCCCGCCGGCCGCGCCGACAGTCGCAAATGAAAGCACTTTTCCGCCGAATAGACAAAATAAATCGAGTCGCGCATGACAATGCCGATAATTTCGTGACAATACGCGCCCGCCCGGCGTCGGCGTACGCACGAATAAATACGCGCTCGCAGGAAACGCGCGCGAAAAACGAACGGGACCGATAGGGTTGCGCATCTGCCGCGTGTCTTCTCCAAACAACGTGGCGAAAGATTGAGCGAGGGTGAAGGGATAATAAAGCGTAGCAAAACATTTCTCCTCTCGCTGGCGATTAGCTCATTTTGTTCGAAGAGTCCTAAAAAGAAACAACACTCTGCAATCGTGCAATCGTGCTGCGATAATTATCTAAAAATATAATATAAAAGGATTATCTAATGTCTAATAATATAAAAAGATTCTCCAAAAGTACGAAGTACACAGAGAAAAAAGTAGTCTTAAATCGGTGATGGATATTCTCACACAGAGAAAATATTGTAATAAAAATGGTTGCAAAAGCTTGTAATGCTGGAATGTACCGGAATTATTACCGAAATTACCATGTGTGTTGTAATTTCGATAATAATTCCGGTATATTCCATATATTTCCGGTATATTTTTGTAATAATTTTTCTCCATGCATATATAAGCAAGAATATTATAATATTCTTAGAAGATTTTTAATCTTGAATTGAGTCCAAATAATATTTGCATCGATACTAATTCAATCAAATCAAGACTAAGTCTTCCAAGAAGGTTATAAATCCAGCAAACACCAAGTTGCAGTTATATAACTGTTAGTTTTAATTTCTCACTCAATAATATAACTGTTATATGACGTGCGTGTTATATACATTATTGAGTAGGAAATTATAACTAACAGTTATGTAACTTCAATTTGGTGTTTGCTGAGAATATTTCTGCTTATATGAGGATATGTATCATTGATTTAAGACTAATATTTTTCCGCGTATTAATGCAACGTCTCTCTTCCTCCCTCTTTCTCTCTCTCTCTTTCTCATACTTTTAGCCCGTAAATAAATAATTCTTGAAAGAAAGAAAGCGGATAGAGCAAGAACCAGATGCAGCAAGAAGCACCAGACACAAAGAACTTTTCTAGTCGCGCTATTTGTTTACAAAAATGAAAGAAAGGCGGTAACGCGGAGCGGAAGGGGCGATACGGCGCAATGATTTATCGGTGATAATTAAAGGGCCGAACGTCACCGCCGGCTGTGTATCGATGACCAACGGCCGGTGCGTGAGACTCGTATTAATAGGGTGTTTTAATATCCACCGCGAACACCAACCATCAATTCTGATCCTAAAGGATCCGTCGAACAAACGCGCGAAAATTTATCAACGATATTATGCAAACAGATCGGGAAACGCGCAACGTTTGTGGAATCCGATTAAGAGAGAGACAGAGAGAGGTAGAGGAAAAGAGCCGGCACGGATTTATGGCTGAATCGGGCGCGTTTTTATTGTCTCCTTACCCTGTACCGAAGCACTCCAACGTCACGGTAAATTTCAGTCGTAATTGGCGATCCTCTCTCTCTCTCTCTCTCTTGTGTAGAAGAAAAAATAGTGAAAATGGAAACTGCTGTCTACCAGTCAAGTTTCACCGACGTGCACTCGCGTGTAAAGTTTCGTCGTGAGCCACCCCCTCCTCGAGGGTGAGTAAGAAACACTCGGAATCCATCTCGTCGCAAACGGACAAGCACGTGGGAACCCTTCGCGACGGGCTCTCGAGGTTCGCGAAAGTATCGAGAGAAGTTGGATGGGATATGGTTACGATGATGTGGAAAAAAGGGGACTTTTTAATGGCGTACGCAGGTGTCGGAGTCCCTATCGACGTTAAGCTGTACCTAATGCCTTCGTCTTTCAGCGCGTCCACCCTCCCTGTGGACGACACAGCCTTCCTTATTTCCCCGGCAAATACTCATCCTCTGCAATCTCCTTTCTTTAATTGCTGCGGAGAGAACGTGGTAATAAAGGAAGGAAGGAGAACGGCCGCCCTCGACGTAACACACCTGAAAAGACTACTTACGTGACTTCAAGTCACTCGCTTTACTCCATTTACGACGATCGGATAAAAGCTAAATTGCTCCGCTGTTCCTTCGACCGGCCTCTTCGTACGTGAGATTGACGTGATACGTTTCTATAACTTCTCTTTTTAAACGCAATCTGCGTATTCTACGTATCTTTAATGCGACGAATTACGAATTACGACCACGTTTTCGCCGGTCACCGTGAACGTCCAATGTGTATTTTACAGCTTACTCGCGAGAGTGATCACGCTGTTTCTATCCAGTCGTCTTTATCGCGCGCCGACCTAACGAGTCACCTCAGCCGAGGTCGAGCTCCACGAGATCTCCTTTACTACCCTCGAAATCCCCGGGAGCCACTACCGCCGGTGGTAAAATCCAGCGCCTCGATATCCACTTCTGAACTGCAGGAAAAATGGGAAGCGTGAGGTGCGTGGCCGTGCAACATCGGGAGGATAATATACGAGCGTGGCGCGAGTCTGTGCGCAAACTTGATGTAGAGACCTCTCTTGAAAAGTGGCTGTCCTTGCTGGTACCACCGGCAGTTTCTGTCATGATTTACAGGTAAGGGCGACGTCGGGTATCCCGGCGGTTCTCAGCCCGGCCCGTCCGGGATCACCTACCGTGCGGACCGGGAAAGCGATGTTGCTTACACACTACCGAGCACCCTTAACCGTTTTGAAGCCTTCTCTCTAGTGTTTACGCGAAAGCTTCGCCCGCGAGCACACGATTGCACCTCCGTGAGAGGCAAAGAGATATCGATCCGCTTCGTCGATGAATAAAATGTTTTTTCCTATAAGCGCAACTGTATACGTAATGACCGAAGTATATAAACAACGCGTCCCGATAGCGCGAAGAGAAACTGCCGCTATTTGATAAACGGTTAAACCGATAAAGAAGGACACTATAAGCGCTTATTAGTTTCGAGATTTTGTCTTTGATTAACTTTTAGACTCTACAATTATTAGCATCTGATAAAAAAGTCATTATTATTATTGAAGTTGCATTTCTTCGCGTTCGACTCCCTTCAGAATCTTGTCGTTCGCGATGCGCATGTCGCACGGTCCAGTTATATTTCTGTCTGCGGCTTCACCCTCTCGCATTCCCCGTCCCTGTCGGCAGATAAAACGCTTCGAATTTCAAGATACGACGTCCGTCGTCCGTCATGACGGGAGATCCGTTCTTTCCGGCCGCAAGTTGGTGGCGAGTTGAGCGGTGGCCGCGCTCTCGGACGGCCGCCGGAGAGTCATCTACGTTGGTAATTTTCCGACAGTTCCCGTCGTCTCTGGACTCGTCGAGGCTCCGAAACTTTCTCGGGCGAAACTACGGCGACTTTGGCAACGGCCAACGTACATATGTATCGTGCATACATATGTATGCGACGGCGGGCAGTACACGAGTCCACGTATCCGTCGTCGGAATCCCGCGACTTCGCTGTTATTCTTTGCCCCTCCGTCCTCGGAAACAGGCCCTCCCGAGCGTTCGAGCGACATTCGAGCGGGAAAGAAACGAATGGAAGGACCCATCGTCGAAATTTTTTTCTCGTCGCGCGCCGCTTTATTGAGTTCTAACGCGATCGCATAGGAGCGGCCGATACAGAGGGCCGTAATCTCATTTTCGCGGATTGATAAGAGAGCGTTTAAATTCGCCGTGAAAACGGGTGGATGAGCGCACCTGTGCCACGGCCGCTCCCATCGACGGGCCAATCTGTTGTCCCGATGAGCTCTCTTTTACCCGTCACCAAATAGAAGCGCACACTCTCAACGTCATGGATACGCCACGGAACTTCCCAAATAGAGACGTTTCCGGGACGAGCGTACTCGGATTTTACATATTCATGCGTTACACCGATTGTTCGTGTCTCGGCGAAGCAACGAAGTTCCCAAAGTGCGAAACGGGGGATGTACCGTTGAAGAGAACGGCGGATCGATCAGTGCGTTACCCCAACTGCCTTCATCCTCGCTACACCCGAAAAAGCTCTTTTGCGATATCCGATTATTCCTAAGGCCTGTCGGGCCACGAGCCTCTCGAAAACGAGAGGCGAAAGATCGAGGCCTTTTCATCGCGACGCATTAGTCGCGTAGACTTTGACGAACCAATGAAATAAATGGTCGTAAATTGTAGCCTCGACGGTGAAGAGGAGGAGGACGACGACGATGCCGCGAACGAAAGCGCCTCCATTAAGGGTTACAGCACCTCGTTCGCTCTCCCCTCCTTACATCTCTTTCGGCGGGATGACGTTGGTTGGAAGCCACTCTCAGCCCTCGTCGTCACCGACGTTACGGGAATCACATTGGATCTACAAAGGGTTGACAGAAGACTTTCATCAATGCATACGACGCCTCCATTGTTCTTCCCATAAGATTGATCCTGCGCGGCACCCCACGTTTACCCCGCGGAATCACCGGCTGAAGGACGACGCTGTAAAACGATACAGCGTCCCCCCCCCTTTTCGACAGCTGAAGGGAGGCCGGGAAGAGCGATAATAGAAACACCGTGTTGAAGGATATTAAGTTTCTCTCCTGCCGGAACACCGATGGTACGCGCGGCGTACGCTTCCGTCGATTTGTTACACCCCGTACGAAGGGCGGCAACCCCCCCGTCCGAAGCCAGTGAACGAAACCGTGATTTTAATGTCCGGTTTGCAGAGCAGCCCGCTGAACGATTGTTATCGGTGATAACGAAGCGAAAACGCTGACGGTACGCCGCTCACGAGCGAGAGAACGCTCCTCGCAAGAATGAAGTAACCGCGGAGATATATGGACGTACGATTGTAACGTATGTTCAGCAGCTGAAGATGAATCTCTGACGTACCTGGCGCGAGTGGAATGTGAGGTACGTACGTGCCGTGCACCTATATACACGCGCAAGAATAACTCGTTACTCTTGAATGCGACTTGATTGATGACTCGAGGGCTTCGTTCGCATTTCGGTCAGTGTGCCTGCGCCAATGCGCGAAACGCATGTCGGATTTTGCAATTCAGATCCAAGAACGTATCCAAGGAAATTCGAATTCATCCGGTTAAACGACTGACTGACCGGTCGATTGGCTAGTTGGCTGGGGCGCGTAACTCTTAAAAGCTCGCAACGTCTGAACACGTTCGTCTTGCTGGTCGCGGCTGAGCTCCGCCTAATTCGGAAATGGGACCCACGTAGTGGGCATAGGGGATCGCAATAATGCACCTAACCTACGAGAAATATACACAGCGCGGGAGATGGATTTACGGCTCGGCGTCGTCTTGAAGAGACCGCGGAGAAATGTACGGAAAGCGTGAGGAGCGAAATATGAGAAGGAGAATGAGGCCAGGACGAGGGGATGGCGGGTGCCTATTTAGTGCGCTACGTCGGCTATATCAACGTTATTATACTGCGGATTCCCAAGGGAGGGCTCTCGCACGCGCGCGCACGCGGCGAGGAGGAGAGACCGCGCGAAAGGCGAATGGATCGCGCAGAAGCGGTTTCTTAAAATATGGATAGACTGCATCGTCGGCGAGACCGAGCGAATGCGCCTCCACATCGCTCCCCAACAACCCCCGTCACCGTTGCACGTGAATATTTACATTCCCGCGGTGTAAATTCACGTTTGGACGCGCTATCAGCTGATCTTTAAACGCCTCGGAATCATTCATTAGAAATTAGTTTCGCGCCTTTATCTCTTCCCACCTTCCGCTGCTTCATCATAATTTTCAAGTGGAAAGTTTGAAATAAGAGTTCATTCAACAATTATGTCACGCCACGAGGGAGGGGGAGTCTATTGGCTTCCGTGACGGCTGTGACGGTAGGGGAGAGAGGAAGTAAAAGCCATGGTACGTCACATTAAGCTCTCGGCACATGTGCTTATTTTCGTGCTGGATCTAAAGAAATTTAGTAATATAACATACAGGCTGTATGGGAGAGTAATTCTATGTTCTATATCATGGGACGTAATACTGGAAGGGAGTTCAAATATTTTGTGTCAAAATGTGACGAAGGAAGGCGAGGGGGGAGTGTAAAAGACTCAAATTTCGTGTGATGTAATCGTTGAGTAGCCCCTAAATCATTTTTCATCGGAAATAACATTAATATCGGGGCAACTATAGTAACTAGTTAATATAATAATATCCGTAATGTTTTTTCCGTGCGCATATTTCAATCGCGAGAAAGTCACTCGGTAATATTTGTTAAACGTTAATGATGTTAAATCATTAATATAATTATGGAAGGATAAATTTGCGATTTGTGTATGCGAAACGTGCAGGACTATTTCGGACCAAGAAACGCGGCGACCGTTACCTTCTGCGTATGAACCGACCTTTTAAATCCCAGTAATATTCGTTTATTAAGTTAAAATTCCCGAAAAATTCTTACCCAATTGCTAACTAAATTAATAAACATTCTATTGACCCTATTCGTTATATTAAATCCGATACATTTCACACACACGATGAATAAATTTACCCTCCCATAATTATATCAATTGTTTGTCATTATTAATATTAATATTAATATATGGAACTAGAACATCCGTGTCTGGTCTTCAATCGATATTGACAATTTACCTTCCGTTGGAGCCTTCATACTTAAAATATTTATTACCTCGTGCCGGATCATAAATCTTAGTACGCCGCAAAGGGGTTGATTCTCTTAATAAGCGATGAGCCGTAACTATTTAAAAAGAAAGAAGCTGCTTTTCATCTCTCGGGAGATCCGTCCATCCTGCAATTTCGTGTGAAGAAAGAAGTTCCGCGGGCTGGATATTCAAGATAACCGCGGCAATAACCGTTTCGACCCTCGAGAGAGCGAGCGAGATTGAAGCGCCTTTTACTCTCAAACGCGCGCGCGCGCGTGCGCGCGTAGTCTTCAGCCGCGCTCCAATTTAATGAAAGTTCTTATAAAAGCTAATATTTTCCGTCTAAAATGCGCCGCTAGCGTCGCTGAAGATTATTTAGCGTCGTTGCACTGAAACAACGTGGAACATCGTTGCGGGAAAAGAGCTCCTCGTTAAAACTCGATCGCAATCTCGATACGGTCGTCTACCACAGGACATCGTCAATCTGCTTCTCGTAAAGGATCCGTTCGTTAACCGAACGTGCTTTCTGGACATTCCGTTTATAGGAAAACGTGTAGAAAAAGGGTGCGCGGACGTAGTGCTTGTTAAAAGTTTCGTGTTTCCTCGACGGTGCGTACGACGATGCGTCGTCCAGCTAAAAAATACGCTCGACGATTTTGGGGTATTTGCGAGGCCATCAAAACCGACCCTCGCCAGACGGGACTCCCTTTCATGGTTGCACGGCTGCATTAGAGTTGAACGCGACTCTCTCGCGGCGAACACTTCGACGTACAAAACGGCACGCACCGGCTATTGAGTTTACAAGCTCTCCTCGTCGCTTCTTCCGGCAGAAGAAAGAAAAGCGCGACTGTTAGACGAGACACAAGGAGTCGGACGGAGGAATTTATCCGTGCGGCGGAAAGAAATAAATAAGAACGGGCGAGGGCGGTTATGCGCGGGCCAGGCGGGAGAAACTGACGGCGAAAGATAGATCTGGCGGTGTACCTCGGGGATTTCATCTTTACGTCTGCCGAAG